CGCACCTAATATATTACGCAACGCTGGACAAGATGGCGGCGCGCGTGCGCAGCACGGTGTTAATTAGTGCAACACTCACCTGAAACAATAAATACACACGCAATTAGTGTCAAGATTACAAGTGAAACAAGTTTTTTATCGGAAACTTGTTTTGATAAATATTTTCATGTAAACTTTGGTTTTTGACGCGTTTTTTAACAATTATTAACGAAAAAATGTTTGTGAAGTGTTCATACATAGTGATTATTTTGGTTTTTATTAATTTATTGGTTATTCAAGGTAATTAAGCGTAGAAATTAATTTTTTTTGTGTAAAATATGAAATTTTAGGTCAAGATGATAATCTTCACGTACATTTTATACTTTTTACACAAGATGGCCGTGTTGAATTAACCTCAAAAACTCTAGATCTCATAGATAATACAAAACCATCAGTTTTTATCATTCATGGATTTTTTGCTGATATTACAATCGATGTCTTTTTATTAAACATTACAAAAACTTATCGTGATAATAAAAATCACAATGCGATTTTTGTCGATTGGGGCCGCTCATCATTCGATAATTATTCTTGGTTGGTGTATGAAGGTGTGCCTAGAGTAGGAGCTATTCTAGGTGCATTTATTATGCAACTTTATGAGCATGGACTTGACCTAAAACGTGTGCATTTGGTTGGACAGTCTTTAGGAGCGCATATTGCTGGTTTTGCTGGTAGATATATCAATGAAAATCATCCGAGAGGAGAAAAAATCGGTAGGATAAGTGGTTTGGATCCTGCAGGTCCGCTTTATTGGAAAGTGTTGACTATCTTTGAGAATCCGTATAGTTTACGGGCGAGTGATGCAGATGTCGTTGATTGTATCCATTCGAATGGTGGATATTTAGGAACAGCGAATAATATTGGCACGGTTGACTTTTTGGTTAATGGAGGGAGTTATCAGGAATATTGTGGGCAGTTTAATTCGAGTTTTAGGTTTATTTCTGAACGTAAGAGGAGAAAATATTGGAGGAAATGTTGGTGTTAAAATGTATTTTTTAGATATATGCAACCATGCTTTCTCTTCGATATTTTACCAGGTTACAATTGGTTCCAAAGAGTATAAAGCGTCAAAAAGTGCGGATTCATGTCAGGATGTAATTGTTTTCGGAGATCAGTTTGATGGGAATGCTTCAGGGGTGTATTATGTGTTGACAGAAAATAATTATCCGTTTAAATCAATTTGTTAGGTTAAAAAACGTAAAATTTTACATTTTTCCTTATAACTTTTTAACCGTTAGTCGTACAATCATGAAATTTATATGAAAATATTCAGAAATTAATTGTTTATAATACTTGGTATCAAATTTTACTGAATTCACTCTATAAATATGAAATTTTATCAAAAAAGTAAATTTTTTCTCAGTTTTTGTGTAATTTTGGTTGCCTATAATAAAATCTCACCAAATTTATTACACTAACCATAAAATTAAACTCTTATATTGATAAACGACTGATTATGGCATTATACATCTCATTAAACATCGATAAACAAACCCGCGGCACGCATTCAACAAAATCCCACCACAAGCGATGATTATCCAACCTCTCCTAGGTG